GATGAAATGCCTACACTTTAAATCCAGAGCCTGAGGCCATTAAAGACAAGAGTTCAGTTAATATAGAGAAACCAGTATGGTACAGTATAATGGGAACAGAGAAAGACATCAATCAAGACCCTTCCTTTTGGGAGCATTGTGAGGGGAACAGGCCCATATAGTTAAGACTAAGACATAGTAGTGTTTGCTCCCTAGAAGAAGTCCTTTTCCAAGATCAGGCATTTGGATAAGGGTCTCCATTCCCTCTGGGGATTAAGGAAAGTTCCTGTTTGATAAAGCAGTCATTCTCCTTATCTCAAGAAGAACTTGTGGCCCTTTCATTAACATGTGACTGGTGCATATTAATTTGTTAAGGTCAAAGGTAGCTTCCCAATCCCCAAGCTCAAACTAGCTCACACCCCTTCTCTCCCGTTTAATCCTATGTGCAAGTAGACAGTATAAAAGGTAGTATTCCCCTTTCAAATAAACACTGCTGCAGCCAACCTGATTCACCCTCAGATCATGTCTGTTATCCCCTCTGCCCCAACTTCACACATACTCTTTGGGATCTGAACCCCACCACTGAAAGAGATCTCCAGCAATATTTTTTTTATTTATTGTGTGTGTGTCTGTGTATACACGTGTATATATATGTATACACGTGTGTATATATGGGGGCCATGATATGTTTGGAGTCAGAGGTCAACTTCAAGGAGTCTCTTTTTTCTACCATGTGGGTCCCAGGACTGGACTCTGATGGCCAGGCTAGATGACAGCAGCTTTACCTGTTCATTCATACTGCCAGCCCTGTTTCATCTTTATTTTAATTTTTTGGTTTTTCAAGACAAGGTTTCTCTCTGTAGCCCTGGCTGTCCTACAGAACTCACTCTGTAGACCAGGCTGTCCTTGAATTTAGAAATCCACCTGCCTCTTCCTCCCTAACCCCCCACCCCCACCCTCACCCCCCAAGTACTGGTATTATAGGTGTGCACCACTACAGCCTGGCTCTGCTTTGTCTTTTTTATAGACAGGGTCTCATTATGTAGCCTTGACTGGCCTGAACTCACAGAAATCCACTGGCCTGTGTCTCTTGAGTCCTGGGATTTAAGGAATATGCCAACAAGCCCAACCCTGTTGTGTCTTCAACTCTCTTTTACTTACTCAAGTTCCTCCATGAGACATACAGAGGTTCTCCTGGTTCCTGATGAAGGTTGATATTATCCCACAACAATTGTATATACACAAGTTTGCTGTCCTGGGACAAAGATGACAGAGGAAGCTATAAAAGAGATCAATAAAATTAGTTTCCCAAATAAAGTGTTATCAGTAATAAGAAAACCTAGTAAGGTTTTTGGTTTTTTTTTTTCAAATTCTAGACCCAAAAGTCTGGCAAGTTTTAATTCTTATTAATGCCTTATGATAAACTGCCTTGCTATTTTCAGGCACATAAGTTTTGTTTTTCTGACATTAAAAGACTGGATGAATGATCTGGTAAATGGTACAAAGGTACAGGAGAGGCGAACCATCATTACAGCAAATTCTAGAAAGACATGGTATGAGAGTGTCTATAACTTTACAGGGTAACTTTTTCAGTCACTACTTGTTAAAATAAGCAAGTCAAATTAGAATGTATAATACTTTATAATACTTTAGGAAAGACTGTTATGTGCTGAGTATTTGGACCTGGTGTCTTCCAATGTACAGTATTATAAAAGTATGTAAAAAATGCAGTTGCCTGTTGTCATCAGTGATCCCAGGAAGAGCTTTAGGAGGCAGGGGCTGGAGGTGGCTTTAGTTTGATCACTAATGAGGCATTTACTTTACATAAATTACTTAGCTTTCTTTGCTTTTAACTTTATTAACTGAAAATTATGGATAAGACCATATTATCTTCAAATAAGATAGCTGTGCATATTTCAGGAGACACAATGTCAGCTGATGGTAAAAGCTTTTTTTCTAGCCATCTGTGCAGCTAGACAGAGCAACCTAAGTCCAGACCATATCGATACACACATGTAGAAATACTATGTACAACTCCATGAGCTCTAAGAGAGAAGACACTCTCTTGGCTATCAGTTTTCTTCTCTCTGCTGGCTGGGATATGACTAATAGCCTGAAGACAGAAGTCATTCATCCTGGACCAGAACACCTTAAAAATAGAGATCATATACAGCTAAGAAAAACAAAACAAAACAGAAGGCTCTCAGATCCCAAACACTGTACCACCCCGTCCTAAGTCTTATCTACTACTTTGTAAAGCTACTGTTATACATTCAGTAGCTTGAAGCTCAGCCTCATTCAAACTACACTAGTGTAGTCCAAGCATACAAGGCAGTATCTCACCTGCACACCTTCATTACAATGCTCAGATGTGAGAATAAGTCCTGGCAAGTTGCTAGGAAGGTCCAAACGTCTGAAATACCAAACCAGGTTCCAGAAAATGATTGGATGTTGATTGATGAAAGAGGATGTATGAATAACCTGATCGCCTTCATTTTCTAGCAGAGATTCAAGTTCCTTCCGAAGCACTAGAGGACTCAAATAGGGCACAGACACAGGCGGAGGATTGGGCCTTTTTCCTAGATGGTCCTTTAAAAATACA